GTTCATGTGGACGATTCTGGATCAAAGGCTTTAAAATTATTAACACGAGGCAGATTAGATATGGAAAAGTTGGAAAGAAGCTTGAGAGTGATAAAGCGAGTTTTTCTTTGGAGTTTAATCACCCAAAATTTCCAATTTCAGCCCAGTTAACTATTTTCCGGTACTTGACATAGCACTTTGTTTTCCCTCACGCAACTCTCCTGTCACCCAGCTAAGCAAAGCTAGCTCATCTTGAGTCAACTACACGAGAGACAGTGGGATTTTGACAACTTTGGTACCTCCGCATCCCACCCCTAACTATTCCAACTATTTTCACGTTTCGGTGTGCAGGTCCTTGTAGATTTTGGACCACAGCAGCGCTGAATCACAAATACGAATAGTTAGAAAACTTGTGCCATTTCAGGCTTGTTGGCAAAGTCCAGCAGCAGTATTTAATTAATATCTGAGGCAACCCCAAAATTGGGACTGAATTCCTCTTCAATGCCTCATTGTGTACTGTTTAAATGGATAAAAGTTTCATTTGGCTCGTAAGTCAAACCATTTAGGAAGTGGAGTTCCAGGCTTAAGCACCTGCTTCGGTAAGTTTGCACAACTTGGACTTACCATAATATAGGTTTATTCCTGCTCCTACCCTACATGTACACATACTTATACGTATGCCACGCGGGTACGCGGTGGTCCACCAACTATTTTCAAATCTAGCGTTTTGGGTGGCAGTAATGATGTCGCCTTTTTAGTTACCAACCTACCAAAACACGTCTCTTACCACCACCCATCTTAAATAGCGTACCCACTTGCTTTGTATAGGCACGATAATAATTTTTATTGCTTTTGCAGCCTTCGATTGCTATTTTTAAGAATTGAGGGTAAAGCGGAAGCAAATTATGCTTGGGAAGAGACAGTGGTGAGATTAACCAGCCTCTTTTAGCTTTTTTCAGACTGGAAATTTGAGTGCGCCCAATAGATGTTTTATCAAATAAGATGACTTTGGCGACGAAAACTACCTCGCGTACTGTTAATTTCACTTGGCACTAGTACGATATCCTTACATGTTTTCCACTTTTTCATCTTGAAGTCACCTACAACAT